GTATGGGGTTTGAACTTGAAACAGCCATCTTGAAGGGCTTTGGTGCAGTCCAAATTCGTGCTCTTCTTAAAAGAAGCGTTTCACATTTGTATGAGGTTTTGATCTGAGTTAGTCACATTGAAGACCTTGCGATGCAGTTCGCGGCCATGACTTTTTTTTGCATACACGACGCCGTAATAACGTCATTCAAATTCTGCCATTCGACTGGCCATGCGGCGTTGAGGGTCACGAAACTATGTCGAGTCGTCCACATCTGGCGTTCGTGAGCGCGATTTTAAGATGCAACGGCCGTCGATTGAATCAACAAATGCCGCACAACCTATGCAAGATTCTGACAAGAATTACCTTTGTGTTACACAATACAAGAAGTTATACGTTCCTTCTGTATCCGGTGCAAGCATCATATCCTATATTTGTCTCAATATCTCAAAAGGTGGAAGATACCCTTCAACCCCAGGTTTGAAAGGAACAAGGCGACCGGCATCCATTCTTAATACGATAGCACATCTGAACTGTACCGGCACCAGACAAGATCATATCACATTTATTTGTTCACAGGCCCTGTGAACACATACTTCGCAGCTATCCTCGCAGCGGCGGATGGGATGCATTTGGGAGCATTTCGCCATCGATTGTACAGCGATGTGAATAGTAATTTAATTTGCACATCCCAGCGTCTGACTCTGCCTATATTGGTCGACACTGTAACCTTAAGCGCGGCATCAGCGATCCTACCCCGACAGTGGAAACACACCCTCTCAACACCAAATTTGGAAGGAACAAATGAACGCGACCAGGCGTTGAAGCGAGGCGCTGGAGAAGATGAGGAATAGGGCGGTGGACAGAAATGCTTCAGGCATGTATGTTTGAAATGATGAGACCTACTTACCCAAAGAGTGGGATCATAGTTTATTCATGCAGTTAGTCACAAAGAGTTTTAGCTACGGTTTGTTAAAGTAAGTGAACGTACAAGCTGCTGCGTGCTATTGCGTCTGTATGCACACCAGAGAAACCCAATTTAGATGCGGAAAAACGTTATTCTCCAGGGAGCTAACAAGCACCACCAGAGACTCACCAACGATACAAAAAAGTTGACATCGAACTCACCTTGACAACATCCACAGACATTACCATGACGCCAGACATCACCCTGACACCACGTTGACATTACACAAAGTCTAACAATACAGATGTAGTGGTTCAGTGAGAAGTCATGGCTGCGGAAACCGTAACAACTTTCGAGGCCAAGGACCGTGGTCGTCTTCGGCAGCGGAAAATACCTGCAATTGATTAGCCAGCACCAGCGCATCCCGACCAGACGCATCTTGATCATAAATCAGTTTAAAAGCTCACATCTTTGCAAATTAATAGATCCCTGCAGTTAAACTTTGTTAAAAAAAGTTTTGCAGTGGCTGCTTGCTACATTTACAAAGCATTTGGATGAGAGCTGTTACCGATTTCCGCTTTTAAGTACCATGCATTTTGCAGTGGCACAATATTAAGCTCTGAAAGTGACATGTTTCTGCTCATGTTGGACGAAAACTAAAAGTTCTTGTTAAGGTTTGTGTCAGCGCTACCTTTTAAGTCACAGTGTCCTTCTCATAAATGCCCCACATTGGACGGGGAATGGATTTTGGTACAGTTTTTGTGAAGCACTATATTTTATGTCACAGTCTTTTTGACGACGGTGTCTTTCTTCATGGTGGTGTTTTGCGTCAAAATATGAAGGCGTGTGACCCATAGCATCACATTTTTTCGAACCCCGCGTCGTCGTTTAGCATACGGCAGTTTGTTACGTTTACTTACCTTAATTAAGCGTAGCTGAAAACTTGCCGTCTAAACATACCAAGAAAGGGTGGGCCTACTCTCTGGGCCACAAAGCTTCCTTGTTCCAAAAATACGTGCCTGAAATGGTTCTGTCCATCATCCTACTCATCATCACCTCCAAAACGCCCCACTCCAAAGTTTGTCCGCGTGCATATCCTCGGGCTATTTAGTGCCGGGTGCAGCCATAGTGATCACGTGACCTCACCGCCGGCCGGTAGGGTTGTATTTGCGGGGGCGATGCCATGATACCAGCAGCCACCCCTGCGAGAACAGCTACGAAGTTCTTCGAACGAATGCATGCGATATTATCTTGTCCGGTGCCGTTCCAGCACGCGGTGTTATCGCTGTAAGAATGCATACCGGTCACCAAGTTTTCCTTCCCAACCTGGTGCCAAGCTTGCGTGTTTGCACTGTTGGGAGTACGATCGCCAACTCCGCGCTGAAGGTTGCGGTAGTCGACCAGCATAGCCGAAGTCGCAAAAATCGCGGGGTTATCCAAATTCGCCTGCCCTCCATATCTTTTCTAAGCCATTGGTGGTATACTCTTTAATGTTATTAGCAGTTCGTTCAGTGTAAGATAGCACAACCGTATTCACGAAGCCTCGAAGCCTCGAAGGAGCAAGGAAGTCAACGCGTCATGGCCAGGAATCCAGAAAGAAGAGCGTTCATCGGTTTTAGAATCTCAAAACTTACCGGAAAGGGTACTATCAAAAGGCTTCACACCATCTCAGACATCGCATGAAGAATGTAGCGAACATTGTGTGACTCATTTTCCTTGAGCCATGTGGTATTGCAATTATCCATAGCGTGAAGACAACCTTTGCAACTTTGAAGACTGCTTGCGATGTTGTTTTTTGCGGTTGTAGCAGCGTTCGACCACTGGATATAACTGTGAGAAGCTGTCGACTTTATGGACAGTTGTCAAATGTAGCTGGTGAATGGCGAGAGCCAGGTCAGTTACGCATTTGAACCGGAGTAGGTTAGGTCAGCATTTTCGCTGAGCCCCCTAACCGATTATAAAAAGTGACACGCCTGCAACCCTGACTGCATTTTTACAAACAGAACTATTTGCTTTCACTCTCAACTAACAGGGCGTGGTACCCACATTGATCTGGTGCAGAGTGCAGCAACCAGGGGATAAATCTGGCATAAAAGGACAGGTGTACCATAGTAACCACCACTCATCAACGCCTAGCAGCCACCATCAACTACTCGCCGCCATGAGGGTAAAGTATTGTCTCGACCATAACACTCTCTTCGGCACATACACCTGTCCACACTGTGGGACAGATCCCACTGTGTGGACAGCTGTGTAACGGCTTGTAAATCTCCGCCAAATATCGTGTCAAGTTTCATCACGCTCATTGTTCAGCACCCAAATCGGAGGAGTTTCTGACAGCCTTTACCGGAGATTCATGGGAGCATTCTGTTTTCTGCATCGCTTAATTTAAACCTATTTACTTGTGTTCCATCTCAAAGGCCGGGCTTGAAACGTCTACCGAGGTGTTGAGATCGAGCCTCGGTGTCCGTTTCCCTGAAGTCTTTGCCAGTCGAAACACCATCTCCTACAGGGTTCATACTTCTAACTCCGAAGCACCATCTCCCACAGGGTTCATACTTCTAACTCCGAAACACCATCTCCCACAGGGTTCATGCTTCTAACTCCGAAACACCATCTCCCACAGGGTTCATACTTCTAACTCCGAAACACCATCTCCCACAGGGTTCATACTTCTAACTCCGAAACACCATCTCCCACAGGGTTCATACTTCTAACTCCGAAACACCATCTCCCACAGGGTTCATACTTCTAACTCCGAAACACCATCTCCCACAGGGTTCATACTTCTAACTCCGAAACACCATCTCGCTCAGGGTTCATACTTCTAACTCCGAAACACCATCTCCCACAGGGTTCATACTTCTAACTCCGCCAAAGTCCAGGGGTCGCAAAGCAGCGGTCATACGCGCCCCGTCCACCAATGCACGCTGACGAAACAAGTCATACAAAGTGGCGCATTTGCAGGCTTTGCTCACATCACGTTTGAACAAAACGCATGTGGCCTGCACTTGCAGCGCCGCGTTTATTCGGGCCGTTGATCTCCGTGTTCATGCTTGACTCTTATTGAGATAAACGTTATCAGTCTGAATGGTGACTTTCTTCTCACATGACGCATGTACTTGGAGTGCATGGCAGGGCAACGCAATTGCACACGGAGGACGGAATGAGATCCCGCTCATCAAAAATTCATTTGAAATCGTTTCCTTCTAAAATATGAGCTCGCTGGCCATCAGCATGCCAGCCAACAGATGTTGAACGACTGCGATATCCCACCTATGCATCTCGCCTTCAGCCGTAACGTACTGTTGTGTTTTTTCCAATGGAATTAAAAGCAGCTCTCACATGCTGCGGCGTTCGAGGAGTGAAAGTGCAAAATTTCGATTAATTTGAATCGTCGCTTTCATGACACTTGAATTTGTTTTAATAATGGTACTATGAAGCTTTTCGTGCTGCATACTTCTGAGCCACACTTACAGACAGGTAGCAGAGAAAACACGGTGTTATTTTGCAAGCACTATTCACTCAGCATAAAGACCGCATACTGCACTAGAAGTTCCCGCCTCCACAGCGATGTCAAATTCCTGTAAAGCACCTCATGAGTCTGAGGTATTTCAACCCTTTTGTACCACGATGTATTCATGACACAGTCACATCCAACCCGCGTGCGCACAAGAAGCTGTCCTAATAGCTTCGTTCTACACCTTACAGTTGGCTATCGTTCTCTGCCTGGTGGCTGCGGCTGCTCCCAGCTATGGCGGGTTCTTGGGACCATTCAGCGGCGCGTGCCGGTGGATTCGCCCTTGGTGGACTGCGAGGCGGATTCGGCGGATTAGGCGGATTCGGCCTCCGAGGACTAGGAGCCGGCTACGGCTACGGCCTGAACGGCGGGTACGGCGGATACAGCGGATACGGCCTCAACGGCGGGTACGGCTTCAACGGCGGATATGCCCTTGGCGGACTGAGGGGCGGATTCGGCGGATTCGGCCTCCGAGGACTAGGAGCCGGCTACGGCTACGGCCTGAACGGCGGGTACGGGGGATACGGCGGATATGGCCTCAACGGTGGATACGGCGGATACGGCTTCAACGGCGGATACGCCCTTGGCGGACTGAGAGGCGGATTCGGCGGATTCGGTCTCCGCGGACTGGGAGCCGGGTACGGCCTCGGCGGTGGGTACCAGAAGCACTTCTCCGGATACGGACTCGGCGGCGGACAGTTCGGTGGATACAAGAAGCACTTCTCCGGATACGGACTCGGCGGCGGACAGTTCGGTGGATACAAGAAGCACTTCTCCAGCTACAGCTACGGACATTGACAAATGACTGGTTAGTTTTCAGGTAACGTCTCTAATACCTCGGTAAAATGTTTCGGTTCCTTAGTCAGCAGATATATTAGCAATTGATCATTTTGCGCTGTGTTCACCAGAATACATGAACTGTCGCGTGCACTGATGACATGCATATGGAGACCGACAGTATACTAGAGCGGAAATGAGAGAAAAGAACGAGAAAGGGAGCAGGAGAATAACAAATATAACGCGAAACAAAAGCAAATGCTGGGAGGCACGCCGGATCGAGCTGCCCTTGAACTGGAGAGCATGAGGAGGGACATGCCCTGATGTCATATGTAGCATCAGCGCACTAATAGATAGGAAAAGTGGGACGGGATTGGAGACGCAACGTTTTCCAAGCTGTTAGCCCACAGCTAGGTCCGCGATGGCCAGCCAGGCTTTCATCTTGCAAAAGCCAGTTGTGCTACAATGCTGACCCGGCCGTTAACCTGCACGTGCTGAGGACACTGCAATCTTTTTTGCGATTTCTCTTTAATTTTAGACCCCCACATAGCACGCATAAAACTCCATCTCAGTGTAATATAATGGACAACATTGTTTGGCTGGTGCCAGTAAAGTTGCTTAGACAGCAGTGATCATAATGTTTTGGACTATAACATTTCTATTGTTTCAAAGAGCATCTTAAACACTGACGCCAGTTTTCTGGTTACAAATGGGAAGGAGTGGTATTTCAAATAACCTATCACCAAATACACCAGAAATTTCGCATTTACACCACATTCAGTAAACTAACCGCTAAACGTCTTTTTTTCAATTTCATGTATCAATCCAAGGGTTTACACTGCCAAGGTAAAGAATGTAGGACATTTAAAAGCATGGGAAGCCTTCTCAGTTCATAACAATACACACAGGCACAAGCACCGTTCAATGCGTCACAATGCCGCATTGTCATGACCTGTATTCAGGAGGCAGACGCATGCTCTTATATGGTGTTTGCTTTCCTTAAAGAATTCACCATGCAACAGCGCCGAATAATTACCACATCGCAGCTTTGAAATGGCTGTCATTTCCCTTTTGCCAAAAAACAATACCCGTCTTTCACTGCAAGACAGTCACCGTTGCGCTGTTTGTAATGCTGCGTACAAGCAAAAACAGCTCTAGCATTTCGTCCACAACTATCACGCAATGAAGCGACTTTGTTGACATTTAGCATTGCCACAAGACTAATACATGGTTCAATGTTGAAGCGGAATTTCCATGACACGAAAAGAGACCAGGCATGTCAAGGACCTCTGTGCACATATCGCATGGCCTACCTACCGCAAATTTATGATCAATACTGAATGATTGATTGGCGTCGTATGTCGAAATGAAATTTGTTAAACAGAACTAGACGCAGATACAGATATAGCGAGATATAGAAACAGCAAACCACACGAAAATCGTAACGAAAATCGTAACCAGACAAAACCTCAAAAAATATTGACAATCACAGTAAGGGCGAAACGTATCATATGCAAGTAACCCGGCCGTTATGGTTGTAAATTGCATGATTAGTTTGCATTGTTTCATCCATATGTATTAACTGAAAGAAGCACCAAGGGTGTAGTTTCATATTGTTGAGTGGCCCCAGTACTCTAACTCTGAGAAAAACGGAAGTACGGTTAGATATTTTCCCTGCTCAGATTTTTAACAAGGAAAATGCTGACAGTCTCTGGTAAGATTCTGGTTCTTGCTGATTCCTTTCCATTCGGCCATGGGACCATTCAGCCTCAGCGTACTAGGAGCCGGGTACGGCTACGGTATGGACGGCTTCAACGGTGGATACGGCTTTAACGGCGGACATGGCTTCAACGGTGGATACGGCCTCAACGGTGGATGCGGCTTCAACGGCGGGTACGGTTTGGACGGCGGTACGCCCTTGGCGGACTGAGAGGCGGATTCGGCGGATTCGGTCTCCGCGAACTGAGAGGCGGATTCGGCGGATTCGGTCTCCGCGGGCTGAGAGGCGGATTCGGCGGATTCGGTCTCCGCGGACTGGGAGCCGGGTACGGCCTCGGCGGTGGATACCAGAAACATTTCTCCGGATACGGACTCGGCGGCGGACAGTTCGGTGGATACAAGAAGCACTTCTCCGGATACGGACTCGGCGGCGGACAGTTCGGTGGATACAAGAAGCACTTCTCCAGCTACAGATATGGACATTGACAAATGACTGGCTAGTTTGTCAGGTAGCATCCCTAATAACTTGGTAATATGTTTCAGATAATTAGGTGGCAGACATATAGAGAGCTGACAATTTTGCGCTGTGTTCACTAGCATACATGAAATGTCGCGTGCACTGAATGCATGCATATCGAGACCGACAGCATACTAAAGCGAAAACTAGAGAAAAAAAGAAAAAGGGATCAGGCAATAACAAAGATAACACGAAGCAAAGCAAACCATAAGACTGTAAAACTTGGAGGGAAGCAGAGTCAACAGCCGGTCACAGTTCGTTCACAGGGAGGCACGCCGGACCGAGCTGCCCTTGAACCGGGGAGGATGAAGAACGACACGCCTTGGTGTGATCATATGTAGCCTCAGCGCACTAATGGTCAGGGAAAATGGGGAAAATTAGAGGCCCAACTCTTTCCAAAATGTTAGCCCGCAGCTCGGCCCGCCTCGGCCAGCCAGGCTTTCATCTTGCAAAAGCCAACTGTGCTATAATGCTGACCCGGCCCTTAAAACGCAAGACCAAGTAAACTGCAACCTTTCTGTGATTTTCCCTAATTTTAGATCTTTTCATAGCGTGCATAAAGTTTCATCTCGGTGTCATCTAATGCACAACATTGTTTGGCTAATACCAGTAATGTTGCTCAGACAGCAGTGATCGAAGTGCTCGTACTATGAAGTGCATATTGTTTGAAAGAATATATTCAACACTGACGACAGTTTTTTATTACAAATGGAAAGGAGTGGCATTTTAAACAGCCCATCATAAAAGGTTCCATGAATTTCGAATGTGCACCACATTCAGTAAGGAATAAATAAGGAATCAATAATAATATATATACTATAATAAGGAATAATAAGGAATAATAATATATATGCTATAATAAGGAATAATAAGGAATAATAAGGAATAGATACTACATCACAGTTTTGAAATGACCGTTATTCCCCTTTTACCAACACCCGTCTTTCATTCTAAGACAGTCACCATTGCGCTGTTGGCAATGCTGCGCACAAACAAAGACAACTTTAACATTGTGTCCACAAATATTAACTATTGAAGTGGCATCACTGACATTTACCATTGCCACAAGGCTAAAATACGGTTCAATGTCAAGGCGGAATTTTTATTGAACGAGCACAGACAAGGCATGTCTGGGACTTCCATGCACATATCGCATGGCTTACCTGCTGCAAATTTCTGATCAATACTGAGTGGTTGGTTGGCGTCGTATATTGAATTGGAGTTCATTGAACAGAACTAAACACAGATACAGATATTGCCAGGGACAGAAAAACAAACTACATGAAACTTGTTATCAGGCATATGCCTTGAAAAATATTGACAATCATAGTAAGAGTGAAACACGTCATACGCAAGCGCATAGGCGTAAAACGTTGCAAAGTGGGCCAGCTCGCGGCGTACTTCAGGAACTTTTTTCTGGAAGCGCGAGCCCGATATCGGGGGAGGGGGAGGGGGGGGGCGGGTACGAATGAAGATTGTTATCGCTCTTTATTCAAATGGTATGTCCGCTATGCTAGATTTGCATCTAGAGCTGCTTCTCACTGCTGCACAGTCTTTCCTATTCGACTCATCTGTCATTTGGCAACTAAGGCTATCCAGCTTCCCAAGATTATTCGTCAATTTTAACATTTTCTTTCCTGGGGAGGCGAAATTCCCGAGCGGGTAGGCATTTCGGGTCATTGAGGAAGCATCTGTCTCCGCAGCACAGATGCCAAAATAAGTCCTGAATATAAGCTGGTAATAGTTTTGAACGGGGATCGATGGTTCACGGTGCGACAGATTTTTCATGTGCCTTCATTTCGCTGGCTGCTTTTTCAGAGAGAAGAATTGTCGCAGCATTTTAGGCGGAAAGAAATTTGGGAGCTTGAAACTGCCAGAAACAAGATGACAAAAGTCATAAAACTTTTGATTTTCATGTCATGAAAAAACTAAGCCATATAATAAGGCCAATCTGCAACATGTTCCTTATCTGGGCCCTGCTCCTGTCGGCCGTTGGTGGCCACGGCCCTGGCCCGGATTTCTCCCGCATGACTGACTGCGAGCTGATCGTATGGCTGTTTTGTTGCATACTTTTGGATCAGCGTTAGTACTACATGCCATATGAAACATGTGTCGGACAGCTGCAATAACATATTTTTCCTAACTGTCTTCCCTTACACCACACCATCGCAGAAAAATAACCTCCGGGAAGCTGTCTGCCTTAGGTATGAACTGACACAACGGATGCTGCATTGCCCATCATGCAACGTATACGACTTGACCTGTTTTTGTGTGTAGGCGGAGCCTTGCCAAAGAGAAACACAAGGTTGACAAAAGCCCGTCTTATGATGATCCCCCAAAAATCCCCGGATATAGTTTACTTGTTAACAAGTGATGCGGTTTTCTTCGTTTCATTCTCATTTTTTCTTCTAACCAGAACAAAAACCAGGAACTACCGAAAGCTTAATTCTCTTTGTATTTTGAGTCTAATGAACTGCAGAAATCAGGCGCTGAACGGCTACATGGAATAAATCACCGGTGCTCCTGATTTACAATGGTTGGTTGACTCTTTCTAAACGGAGAGAACTGAGAAGCTTTGACAGAATTTGTTACCTCGGTTCTACTGACATTGAGGACATCGCGAAGGTAGATTGTAGATCGATATGTCTGATCCAAATTTGAAGAGGAAAATTGTATTGCAGATCGAGTGGTCGGCAATGCGTATTAACATGGCTAAGCCATGTTTCTCTGAAAATGTTCACCATTCAGTCAGAATCGATCAGTGATGCAATTTAAGTAACGTGTT